GTTATCAACATAACTTAGCAACGCCCTAAGAATCATTCATTTCAACACAGAGCATTTATTCCGCGATTAAAATGGAAATTGGGCGAAGACATTAAAGATCTGATATAACTGATGTCTGTATATTTATTGTAACAGACATAAATTTATGGTATTTGTAATTGTCGAACTTGAAATATGAGTTACACCATGAACAAGATATGTATATAGAAATTTTTAAACAATGTTGTAAATGATTTATTCATAACTAACGCACTGTTTGTTTTTTTTTACCATAAGACTATTGCTCATATCCCACAGATTTCCAGATTCGACTCCGACAACTTACTTTTTTCGCACAAAACAAGCCACAAATATCTAACTGAAAATTGTCTAATTATGTTTACATTATATATTTTAAATTACAAATTTCTAATTGAAACTATATAATATTTTATGTATTTTATCCGTAAGTTTCTGTTACAACCAGAAATTGCACACGTGCATCACTTTGTACAAAAATAAATTTCGCAACACACCGGCAACAAATGTTTACATTATATATCCTGAAATAAAACTACATTTTCAGTTTATTTTGATATAGACTTATAATGATTTTAAATTTATAACTCACTATTATATTATAAATGCAGCAGATTTTAAATCAATCTCAATCTATTAACATAATACATAGTTGCACTCGATTGACTAGTTTTAAAAATTTTCGCAATCGCAATAGACTGTGATTTGTTTCAGGTATATTAATTTTATATCAAACATATTGAAGATAAAATAAATATAGTCGGTAAATTTAGTGATATGTTTCAAGTATACATTTAGTGGCGGGAATAGCTCAATCAGTAACGTGACCGACTCACACGCCAACGATCCTCAAATCGATTCTTGGCAATGACATAAAATTTAAAATATTGATTTAAAATAAAATAAAATAAATAATATAATAAACTGTTGATTAAAGATTGCATAGAAATAGAAGAATAAAACAAAATTTAAAATAGTTAACTGGAAATTAATTAGAATTTGAATGGTTGAATTGAATTTGAAAAGAATTAGATATCTTATATAGAAAAGCAAGATTAGAATTAAAGAAGATCAGATTTAGAAGAAAAAAAATGAAAAAAATCAGTGAAAAAGCAAAAAAAAAATTCGATAGAATAGGATTTATATATGTAATCATATTGAAAAATCGTATAGAAAATAAAAATGAAATGTAGCAAGGCTCTAAGTAAGCGCGGGCAATTAAAAATTAAATTAAAAAAGTCTTTTCGTTATAATTTGTTTATAGCAATATTATATTTTTATAGTCAAATTTGTGACAAAAACGATTTAGGACATATGACATTTCGTAGAAGATTTGCAACTTATTCCGGTTTTGAAACTCATCTTGGACAGCTTGATATCAAGCAGTAGTAACATGAGATTTTAAATTATTTTGTCTATGGCAATATTTTATTCTTTTTGTCGAAATTTTGACAACGACGATTTAGATAAATAAACATCCATCAGAAGTACATATCATATTTCACTCAGGTTAGCAACCACTTGTATCGGGTTCAATACCCATCTTGGACAGCTTGATATCAAGCAGTAATAACATCATATTTCTTAATGTTTTGTCTATAGCAGTATTCTATTTTTATTGTCGAAATTGTGACAACCACGATTTAGATAATTATACATCCATTAGAAGTACATATTATAATTCACAGAGGAATAGCAACCACTGGTATCGGGTTCGATACCCATCTTGAACAACTCGATATCAAGCAGTAGTGATATCAGACTATCAAATTGTCAAAGAAAATAAAAAGTTGAAACTGTTATTAATACTTCCTAGTTTTACTTATTTTCGGTATAATTTTTCATAAAAAATATCTGCTTTTTTGTTAAAAATAATAAATAATTCATAACCTTATATATTTGCTAGTAAATTTTCGTTTACGTATTATATATTATTTAAACAAAGATAACCAACAAATAACAAACTATGATGATATGCCCACATATCGCCAATGCATACAAATACAGAATTATAGATAGAAATGTTTCCAATCGACTTATTTACATATGAACGGTATCTGTTAATACACAAAAGCAAGTCAAGGTCTTTACATAATACTATTTATACAAAGAAATAGAAAACTAACAGTTTTAAAAATCATTCAGAGGAAATAAAAAAATCATTCCTAAAACTCCTTGCGAAGCGCCATATAGCAATTAATTCAACAACCACCGATATCATTAAATTATTGGCGAATGATATATTCTGAATCAAATGAATTATTAAATCAATTTTTATCTATCTATATACAATCATCATAAAATAATAAATTAATATAATTTATATTAAAATATAAAAAAAAAATTACAAGAAAATATTCTTTACACTTCTTTTGTTAGAAGTAATATTACTCCATTAAAACCACAACAATTATATATAATACAGCAGTGAAAAACATTGAATTTTTCATGACCAGAATTTTTTACTAAAGTAGGTATTTTACATAAAATTAATGACAAAGTCACACTGACCCGATTTAGAAGTAAACCACATTCATTAAGTCAAATGCATTGAATTTATAATTAATGAATTATGAATTCAAATTAAAACAGCTTTTGCATTTTCAAAGACACACTAACTACTTTGAATTTATAATATTTAAATTTGAGGAAAATATAAATTATAACTGAGCGGTCAAAGGAATAATATTAAAAGTCAATATAGAAAAGTTGATCAAACTAGATATTAAACTTGAGATATTTTTTTTTTAAGGAGTAATATGGACCTGGTACAAGAACACAAGAATTATTTTATATGGAGTTCTATTATGAAATTAGTTCCATTATCATTATTGACAAAATTTTTATTAGTTGGCAAATATTAAATTAAGTTAACAAAGGCCTTTACAAAATGCAGGAAACTATACAAAATAAGATTGGATCACATTTCGTGATTTTAATAAAATAAAAGTTATACTTGCGTGACATTGAGCCATTAGAGCAGTTTTTAGTACTTTACTATCAAATACATAATGCATATAATTTTATTCAATATTTTACTACGAAGTTTGATGTTAATGACCAAAATAAACCGAAGAAGAAATATTTCAAAATAATCAGATTTTTAATTAAGGATTATATTATTATCAGGTTAATCTAAGGATAGCCACATCAATATTAATCCGGAGATATTAGAAAAATGGATTATTTCAAACATAACGAAATCACAAGCAATCAACATACATATAGTTGATTTAATTCTTGAAATTTAAATAGTTCAACTAGATTTTAATGAGTATTTAAATGGACGATATTATCAAATCCTAAATAAATATAATTTGATTTTTGAAAAAACTTTCGAATGCAAGTTTTTTAAATTTTATAAATTTTTTAATTAATTTTATAAATTTTGTCTGTCTTTACAAAAAAAAAGACAGTAATTTGAAGGATAATTACAAATTACTCAAGCCTTTTCGATTTTGATAATAAAGATTAAATTGTGCAGTTATAAAAAGAAAAATTAAATAATACAATTTAATGATTATTTTACACAGTAATATGCCGAAAATCAAAAATGAAATTTTTTGCATTTTTTCACGTTTTGAAGGTTTCTGAACATTTTGGCATACCTCAGAAAAAATAAGTATGTGTGTGTATGTGTTTGTGTGCGGATACAAATTTTCGTCGACGATTTCGGGAACACCGATCAACCGATTTGAATAATTCAAAAAACATTCGGTTTCTACTGATAAGGAAGTTAGTTTTTGGCGAAGGCAGGTCTAGCAGTTCCGAAGGTACGGGGCAAAAAGTGCCAAAAACGGTAACTCAGTTTTTAAGAGAACGGAGCGTCCGATTTTAATAATTCAAAAAACATTTTTTTGGTATTGACAAGATGAAAAACTGATTAAATTTTTGGAAAGGCAGGTTCAGTTGTTATGGACTCTCATTAAAAATGTTTATTAGACATATGTACATCAAATTATCAGATATTTTATAGAGATTTTGATAATGTGTACACATTTTGTGTACATTTTTTTGGGTTCCGTACCAAGATTGTTTATAACGGTACGGAAAGTTCCAGCAATTTGCCTTAAGGAAAATATTTTTAATATCAAATTTAATTTGCGATTTTTGTATAAAATTTAAGGTGTTTTTATTTTTCTAGAAGAAGAAATATTTAATAATTTAAACAAATATATATTTCTAAAAAGATCTCATACTAAAGATTTTTATGCCGTTTATGAAACTATTGAGTTTTTCAGAAAACTGAATATTTTTTTCTAAAATTAATTTTCTAGAATAAACATGGACATTTTGAAAAATATATTTTATTTTTTTTTATTTCATTGTCTCACAATTTTTTATAACAATAACAATAACTAAATTTAGCAGAAAATAAAAAATATATATAAAAACAAATCCCACAAAAAGGATTTAATATTTACATTTCAGAAAAAGTGATGTAGTTCTAAAATTATGTAACTAAAAATTAACGGTAAAGTCTATTCTAACACGTTAGCCGCCATGTCAGTCATATGTGTCTGACGCTAGGAAGAAGAAAAATAGTTTTATTATAGGCCCTTGTCGGTCATATATATGTGGGACCTAAAAAATAGTGCTTTTCCAAAAATTTCGGTGAATTTTCTTTCTTAAATACATAAGTTTCTTGGATACATTTTTTACTAAATTATTTCATAAAGTTAGCATGGCCCATGTAAAAAAATCTGATATTACCGTGAGGATTAACGTGTTAATTAATAATGGTCTCAGAAAATCTTATATAGTTCTACAACTATATAACTAACTAATATAGTATATTTTAATACCACATAATTTCTATCTCGAGTAAATCTAAAATTTTACACCAACATATATATTTTTCTCAAGCACGTGTTTTTCGCAACAGCGTTCGACGCAAACCGGCTTTCGTCGTTTTTGCACAAAATCCGCAATAAAAATATTAAATTAAAATACACCAGCACTTGAAAAATATATATTATTACCTTGTACTGAAAGACATCCAATAAACAGCGTTAAAACCAGAATCCTCGTCAACTCCATTTTTGCACAGAACTTTAAACAATAAAACTTACGAAAATACGTAAAATAATATTCATACACTATCACTATGGGCTGATATAAATCCAATGGTAAACAGACACAGTTTATGGCGGAGGGGAATTAAACTCGGACTATAAATTTTATTATTGAATATAATGATAAATTAAACACAATTTTAATTTAATATATTTTTTTTCTAATATCGTAATTGTTTTTACGGACTGTTGATCGACGTGCGGTACGACCGAACACTTCGAGGTTCAAAGCAAGACTGAATGAACGCAAACTAAGCCTTGTGCAAGCTGCAGAGCGACACCGACGAATTCAAAATTCGGCTATGGGTTTCGGTTCGTGATCGTGAGTCATTTTACCGAGAGTTTTTATTTTTCCAAACTTCTCGATAATTTTTTTTTCAATCTCAAGTTTTTTTTTTTAATTTTTGTTGGCCTCCTTACAGCATTTTTAGCCATTATTCATATTATTTTTCATCATTTTTTTTTGTTATTTGGCTTCGCTTACTCTGAGCGTTTAGCCACTTACAACATTTATTTGCATTCTAGACTAATTTTACATCATACTCAATCTATACGTGTATATATATATATATATATATATATATATGATTTAGTAGTTAATTTTGATGTTGAAATATGTGAGTGAGTTCTTGAGGGCGATACATCAAACAAAGAAAAGCCAAAGATTTATAAAATAATCTTTATTTCCAAACGTTTCGACATTCAATTTAATGTCATCATCAGTGGATATTATGTTGGTTGGTTACATATAGAGAAGTGTACACAGCACTAGAGATTGGCACTAACATTTATACAACTAACTTGTCAACACTATGCATTTTTTATAATTTTTTGTATGATGTAAACAGAAAAATGATAGTTTTATTGAACAAAAATGTAAGTAGAATTATGTAATTTCTGCCACGACTTCTGTACTTTGCGAGTACCGAGGCATGTATAAACGCCAACACGTGTTTTGAGAGATTTTTAAGGGTCCAGGACCATTTTTCTGTTTACATCATACAAAAAATTATAAAAAATGCATAGTGTTGACAAGTTAGTTGTATAAATGTTAGTTCCAATCTCTAGTGCTGTGTACACTTCTCTATATGTAACCAACCAACATAATATCCACTGATGATGACATTAAATTGAATGTCGAAACGTTTGGAAATAAAGATTATTTTATAAATCTTTGGCTTTTCTTTGTTTGATGTATCGCCCTCAAGAACTCACTCATATATATATATATATATATATATATATATATATATATATATATATATAGATTCTATTCTTCTTATACTATATACTTTCTTTCAACTTATCTTCTTCACATCCTATTCTTCTACATAGTTCAACTTATCTTCATTCTTCTCTTTATTATCTTCTTACTTCTTTCTACTATTTCATTTTTATTTTCAATTCTAATTCAATTTCTATACATTCTAACACCTTATACGACATTCTAATAATTTTTTTACATACATCTTACAATTGAAATTCTCATACATTCTGATATTTTTCATTTGTAAGCGCCAGGGATCGAACCAACGATCTCCGGCATCTGAGTCGGACATGCTACCTCTGAGCTATGTCTGCCACTATTTTTCATCATATTCTATACAATTCTTACATATATATTTCTTATACATTCTTCATATATATACTATCTCTTCTTATATCCTAATCTTCCATTCAATTTTCTTTCATATATTCCAATCGATTTTCATTCTTCTTCTTGTTTCTCAATATGTTCTTCTCATCTTCTAAACCAAACTACTTTTTTCTTTCTTACTTCTAATACAATTTTTTCTTGTATTCTACAAATTAAGAATTCTTAATCTACTTTTTATATTTTATATTTTTAATTCTGGTATTGCTGGAGATTCGAACCGAATTCCTCCAGCGTGTGAGTCGAGAACGGTACTGAGTGAGCTATTCCCGTCCGATAATTGATACACATTATTAAAATCTCTATAAAATATATGATAATTTCATGTGCATATGTCTAATAATCATTTTTACTCAAAATGGCATTATTTTTTTAGTTTTCTTACTAGATTTCCAAAACCGCTTAACCTGGCTTCCTAAAAATTTAATCAGTTCTTCATCTTGTCAATACAAGTGAAATGTTTTTTAAATTATTAAAATGAGACGCTCCGTTCTCTTAAAAACTAAGTTGCCATTTTTGGCACTTTCTGCCCCGTATTTTCGGAACGGCTAGACCTGCCAAAAACTAATCAACACGTCTCCTTATCAATAGAAGTAGAATATTTTTTGAATTATTAAAATCGGTTAATCCCTGCGCCCATAATCGTCTAGTAAGATGTCACAAGTATTTTTTTTACCTGAATTTTCAAAACAAAACCAAAAATTTTACGATTTTTTTGTGAATTCGAAAAATTTTGCATATATAAAAATACACATGATGCTGGATGGAGAAGGGTGGCGGTAATTTTAAATATCACGATGTATCACTAAAATCCCTAAAAATCGATCACGTGATTAATGAACGCACCCGAAGTGCAACTTTTTGATGTCCTTTTGATAACACATACGCGAAGTTAGCTTTTATGTGTAGAAAGCAAATACATAGCTTTTTGATTGTTTGTAAATGCCAACTTATACGAATATAGATCTATAACTTAGTGTTAGTATAACATATCTATTTTACCCAGAATTGGACCCTAAACCTCCGCAAAATGATTATCTCCATTCATTTTCTCTGGCCGATCACACTTTTCAGTTAATTATTTTTGATACATTTACGAAAGAAAAGGCGATGTAAGCTACAATATATATTTATTTTTATTTGGAATTTCATTTTTAATTTGTTTAAATAATCAGACCTACGTTTCGAAAAGAAAGTAAAACTGCTTGATTACTCGCTGTCCGAGATGGAAATTAAATGTGAAACCTACTTGTTGCAAGGCCAAAGCTATTAGGACAGAGCCACAAACAAGCGCATCAAATATTTGACAATTTCAGAAATTCTTGCAATAAATTATATCTTCCGATATTCTTAAAGTTATTGAATTATGCTATCGATAACAGCAAACATGTTTGGTGGTAAAACATGATTCAATTTTCTAGAAAAAAAAAACAGTTCATTTTAAACATTCAAACACTGCAATCTTATCAGATGACTTCTCATTTTAGTTATAACTCTTATTACCATAGCAACGATTTTAAACTATTACAAACACTGATTTCAGCATCAAAAAATTAGGTCATTTTTTTCGAAGAACTCGTTGCATTTTATGTGAACTATTGATAACGTATGATCTAAATCGGGAGTTAAAATTTCATTATCATCTTTAAATAATATATGAATCTTAACAAATATGTTGGTATGAATATATTGTTGTTTCAGGGAAATTGGCAGTGGAATTAGTGACCCATGCCAATTGGGAATACTTCCAAAAATGCTTCAAACAACTTTTATATTTACATTTTAAACATATGGCGCCACTTGATAATTATAAAATGATTTATAGATTCGGTTATGTAAAACTCGCTTAAAAATTTAATATGGTAATTGATAATCAATATTCATTTTATGATAATGGATATCATGTAGAACTGCAAAGTTTGGTAAATGATGATTTTAAATTTACAATAAATTTTTATTTTATATTTGAGAAATTTTTATTTTTAATGCAGGTGTATAATTTAAAATAAATATACGCTATATATGTGTTATAACAGCTGATATATTAATTGAACAGTACGATAAATATTTGATTAATCAATATTGACTATTAATAATATGCAAAAATGTTGGAATTGAAGTTAAACAAAAAATGACTCAGGCTTATGGAATGTGTGATTCATTACATTACTTTCCAATAATAACAATTACAATCTTTTGTTTAATATTAAATATTGCATTTTATTATTAACAAACTAAAGAGAAGTATAATCATTGTTATTCATCAGTTTGCAGAAACTAATGCCTTTATCAGCTTCATTAAAAAAGTACATAGTAATAATATTTATTATTAACATTCAAATCAGTAATTAGTATTATCGTTTGCAAAGCCGTAATTATTTTTTGTAAAATATAAGATACATAAAATTTAAATAAATTTGTATAATAGTTGTTTCATATTTTTTCAAAGAAATACAACTTTAAAGCATAAGTAAAACAATAAAGATATATAATTACAGAATAATCAAGAATCTTTTTATTCTTTTTGTAACTTTTTTGCAACTTTTTTGCTCAATTTTTATACTTCGTTAGCTTGATCACACTTTTCGTAACGCTCTCGCCAGCGTAAAGAAGTTTTACTTCAATGAATTATTAACTTTCCATAGGGTAAGTTATAGTGATCGGAAAAAAATCTAAAATGAAAATTTGTATATATCTTTACGTTTCAGAAGTTTCTGAACATTTTGGCATACATTAGAAAAGATGGATGCATGTATGTGTGTGTGTGCGGATTCAAATTTTCGTCAACGATTTCGGGAACACCGATTTGAATAATTCAAAAAACATTCGATTTCTATTGGTAAAGGGACGTACTGATTCGTTTTTGGCAAAAGCAGGTCTAATCGTTTCGGAGATACGGGGCAAAAAGTAATTCAAGAAACGTTTTACTTGTATTGACGAGATGAAGAACTGATTAAATTTTTGCAAAGGCAGGTCTAGCGGTTTCGGAGACCTAGAAAAAAAAGTAAAAAAGAAGCTATTTGGCTGTCAATAAATAAAGCTTCTATATAAATTATATTTATGTGTAAATAAAATTTTACCATTTAGTTATTTCCTAGAAAAGGCAAAAGTTTTTGAATGAAAACCGCATTATTTATTCAAATTCAACAAATTCAATGTTTATGTACTGGAAAATACATACATCCCACGTTTTTTAGAAATTATTGTTACTCACGCAAGATATAAATATTTGCGAGAATTATTTATAATACAGACGGAAATAGTATGCAATTTTCGTAATTGTGGTTTTAATCGTTCCACTATATTTTTATTCTATTAAATAAATAACACTGTAGAAGAACTAATATTTTTATCTTTCACCAATGTTCATAAAAAAAGACTGCAGAATCTAGAAGTTTTTTACATCCTAGTAGTTAACATTCTTCAACTCTTATTTTTTCAATTTTCATGAATCTTACAAACAATAATTTACGGCGCCGAAAATGTTAAACTTTAAATTAAATTT